ACATCTTTTACATTTCTCATTTCTTTTTTTTTTTTTGGAAATGATTTCTTAAACAACAGGATATAGTCACAATACCATTATTTTTTTTTAAGATTTATTTTAATTATGTATAAATGTGTATGTCTGTGTGTGGATGTGTGCCCAAGTGAGTGCAAATGCCCTTGGAGGCAAGAAGAGACCATCAGATAGATCCCTAGAGCTGGAGTTATAGGTGGTTATAAGGCACCTGATATAGGTGCTAGAAACCAAAAACATACAACTACCAAATATATGTATGAATTTTGACTAGTTCCTTGATTAAAAAAAATAAATAAAACAAGGGGCTGGAGCGATGGCTCAGTGGTTAAGAGCACTGACTGCTCTTGCAGAGGACCCAGGTTCGATTCCCAGCACCCACATGGCAGCTATGAACCGTCCTTAACTCCAGTTCCAGGGGAATCCAAAACCCTCTTCTGACCTCTGAGGCACTGCATGACATGGGTGCACTCACATACATGCAGGCAATACACTCATACACATAAAATAAAAATAAATATTTAAAAAAAAAAACAAAAAAAAACCAAAGAATTTTTGGCAGCCAGCTGGAAAAATGGATATGGACTATATCTTAAATTGTATTTGACTAGCATTAGTTCTTCGATGTAAGAATAAAAATGACCTTATTCTTAGGAGACACATGCTATGATTTTTGCAAGTACTTGCAAATAAGTGTGTGTAGACAGGTGTACAAAGAGGAGGAAGGGAAGGGTAAATAAGAAAATATGGCAAAATGGTAATAATAAATGAATCTAAGAAAAAAAAGAGAAATTACTCTAAAATCAAATGCTATAAAATTACCTCCTTTAAAATTTGAAATCTTGTCATAACCTCTTCTTCAACACCTTTAATTTTGTTCAAGGCATTTTCATGTCTGGAAAGTAGCTGCTCTCTTTCTACTAAAAAACATTCTCGTTTTTGAAGTTCTTCAGCAAACTTCTGTTGTGCTGCAGTTTCACTCTATCAAAATGCATGATTTAAACAACTTTTTAAAAGTTAGTTCACAAACTGCAAACTATATTCTTATCCATTGACACTGGTTTGATCAAATGGTTTTTAGCAATGTAAAATGGAGTTGTCACTTTGAAATAGTTTGGTAGTTCCTCAAAAAGTTAAACAGTTACCATCTAACTAGGCATTCTAAGACAAAATGAAAGCATATATCCACACAAATCAAATATAAATGCTCACAGCAGCATAGTCATGGTAGCCTAAAAGTAGAAACCACCTGTGCTGGTTAATTTTAACTGTCAAATTTTGCACAACCTAGAATCACTTGGGAAGAGTGTCTTAATGACGTTGGCCTGTGGGCATGTCTGTGGGGGACAGTCTTGTTTACTGAAGTAGGTAGGAAGACTGTTGGGGAACCCTGCTGTTAGGGTTGCAGTTTCTCCATGTCCGGATAGCCATGAGCGGCTCGGCGCCTGATGGAGAGACTCCCCTTTTCAGCAGGGGGCCTCCTGCTCTCTTCCTGGCTCACCTTGAAGTACTGCCAAGGATGCCTTATCTGAAACATGACCTCTGGCATAGAAACTACCAGGTTTTTTCTATATGATAATCAGGCACTGTCTGACAGCCTGAAAGATAGAAGCCCACCGCCACATGTAAATAAAGCATACTATGAGCACCTATCAACTGAGGCTTTTGCTACTGCCTCCACACTATAAATTCTCTAGTTTTCCCCCTAATAAACCGGAGCTGTATCACTGAACTTGGCTGGAGCTGTATCACTGAATTTGTCTGGAGCTGAGCTGTTTCATTGCGCCTGGGACCAGCCTGTGATCAGTCTTCCCGGAAGAGCTGCCTTCCGTCAACACTCACTCACGGCTTCTGCGCTCACCGCTCCTGCTCTCCCCCCCCTCGTGGATCGGTGGCCAACGACCCACGAGCCGAGGGGGAGCCTCCCGCAGCTTGCCCGAGCCTCCCGCAGCTTGGCGCAGAGCCTGCCTGCCGCCTGCAGAGCCCGCCTGCACCCGCCACCGCAGAGAGAGACCCGCCGACCAGCAGAAGACCAGCCCATGGTAGGCAGCATCCTTCCCTGGTAAGGGTTCCTGAGCTACGTAAGACAGGAGAGAAAGCTAGGTAAGTAGTAAGCAAGGAGCACCATGCACTTCTCTCTGTTTTCTACTGTGGATATGATATTTAAGCTCCTGTCATCGTCATTTCTTCACTGCTTCCTGGAACTGTGAGCCAAATTAACCCTTTTCTCCCCTATGATGATTTTATACCAGGGTATTTTATCCCAGCAACAGAAACGAAATTAGGACGCAACCCAAACATTCAGCAAACGAGTAGATAAAGAAAATGTAGCACATAACACAGTACTATTTAGCAATGAAAAATGTACTGATATATAACAGAAATCAATCTTTAAAATATGCTAAATGAAAGGATCCAGTCATAAATTACTATATGTATCATAGGATTCTATTATGCAAAATATCCAGAGTAGACAAATCTATAGAAACAGAAAGTAGAGAAGTAGTTGCCCTTTTGGGGATGATGAAATGTTCTAAAAGTAGTAGGGATAGTAGTACAACTCTGTGAGTATACTAAAGATAATTATACACTAAAAATTAATATGCATTTCCCCTTGACTAAATTTTACTGTACACATCCAAATGCAAACAATCTCAGGATATTGATCCCATCTCTTAAGTATCTCTACAATTCATCCACTTCTCTGTATCCTTAAGGCCCCATCCTAATCCAGGACATCCCCAGACTGCTACCATCACTTCACATTCTATCCTCTCTCTAGAGCTCAACTACTTATACTAGCTTAAAACACAAACCCATACATAGATACTAGAGTTAGAATTAGGAGTGTCCAACCCACAGCCCACAGGCGACACATAGCCTAGACAGCTGTGAATGCAGTCCAACACAAAACTGTAAGTTTACTTAAAATATAAGATGTCTCTGTGGATATTTTGTTTTGTAACTCAATTGCATAGTTCTCAAACATGAGCAATGTACATGTAGTCATGTTACCGTGTCAGACAAAATAAATGTATGTATGTTCTCATAACCTGTGGGCTATGGGGTGGACAGCCCTCAAAGTCTTATGTATTAAAGGCTTGATCCCCATAGTGGTGCTAATGGAAGGTGTTGGAACCTTTAAAAGGTAGAGCCTTATGAAAGGTCTTTAGGTTACTGTGCATGTGGCTCTCAAAGCATATTATAGGACTCTGGATCCTTCTCTCCTTTGCTCCTGGCCAACATGAGCACCACTTTTGTTTTGTCGATGCTTTGACCATCTGCTGTCATAGCACAGACACAAAAATACAAGACCTATCAGTCATGGCTCAAAACTTCCAAAGCTATCAATAAAAAAAATAAACCCTTTTAATTTTTTTAAATTGAAATGGTATCACCTTATGTTGCCCAGGCTGGTCTTGAAGTCATATGCTCAACTGATCTTCAGTCTTTCAAGAAACTAGGAATCCAGGTATATACCACCACAAGCCAAAAATATTTGGTTATATAAGTTGACGGGTTCGAGTATTTTGTTATAGAGACAGACTGCTTACTAATTAAATAAGTAACACTCAAATAAGATGTTTATCCAAGATCAATGTTGTGACTATTAGGCTAATACTTTTTTTTTTTGAGGCAGGGTCTCCCTGTAGCCCTAGCTGTCCCGGAACTCAGAATGTAGACCAGGCTGGCCTTGAACTCACAGAGATCCCCCTGCCTCTACCTCCCAAGTGCTGGGATTAAAGGTGTTCACCACCATGCCCGGCTAGGCTAATACTTTTTAAAAATTTATTTTTGTTTATATGTGTATGAGTACTTTGCCTGCATGTATTTGCACCCACATGTACAATGCCCAGGGAGGCCAGGAGAGGGCATTCGATTCTCTGACACTGGAGTTAAGGATGGTTGTTAGCCACCACATAGGTACTGGCAACTGAACACTGGGTCCTCTGCAAGCATAGCCAGTGCTCTTAACCACTGAGTCATTTCTTCAGCCCCATGCTGATACACTTTAACTCCAAATCAATCCGTCCTAAATTAAAACCTTGATCTTTTTCCTAAAATTCACTTTTCCTTCACTCTACACAAACCAGGAATTAAGAATCAAGTTAGAGGCCTTACTCCTTCTACACTTCTTCCAAGTCATTACACCAAGTCCACAACAGAGCTCTAATCTCCCTTCAGTTCTTGTCACCAGTCCAGTCCATGTTACCATTATGCCTCTCACCTAGGAACCTACAACAGAATCCTATCTAGTCTCCCAAATTCCATATCTGTACTTCCCCCCAATCTGTTCATATAAACATACACAACTGCTTATATAATTGTCCCACTTTAAAAACCAACAGTTTTATATTTTTCTTTAATCAGGATCTTCTCATATAGGAATGGCTCAATCTAGGCTAAATCCTCATTCTTTAGGATTTAACTTAAATATTTGTAGAAAAAAAACTTTATCAAACCTCTCAATCTCCCTCACTCAGGTATCTGTCATAGAATCCTATTAATCTTCCATTTAAGTCCATAACATTGGCTGTGGTGGTATATGATTGTGGTCTCAGCACTCCAGCTAGGGCTGGGGATGGAGAACTCAAGGACAGCCTAACAACATGAGTTCAAGGTCAGCCTGGGTTATATAATAAGATCCTCTCTCAGAAACATTTTTACAATTATATGAGTATTCATGATTTACTTCTAACAAGCCACATGCAGCCAGGGCCACACATGTTACTCATTTGCATATATACTAAGCATTGAATATAGGAATATGTAGTAATAGGCACTAAAATATTTGTTGAATGGATGAAATCACATCATGTGACAAAAATGTATATGCTTAATGACAACTACAGAATAAATTTTAAAATGAGACATAACTAGAGGCTAATTAAACCATATTAATCCCCTTCATTTCATTTTTTACTTTTTAAAATTGTGTTTGCTGCTGGGCATGGTGGCGCACACCTTTAATCCCAGCACTGGGGAGGCAGAGGCAGGTGGATCTCTGTGAGTTCAAGGCCAGCCTGGTCTACATAGTGAGTTCCAGGACAGCTGGGGCTACACGGAGACCCTGTCTCAAAAAGACCAAAAGAAAAAAAAAAATTGTGTTTGCTATAATATATCCTTTCAAGTTTGTTGTTAAAAATCATTTTTTACTGTCAGTCCTTTGATTAAAAACCTGTAAGAGCAGGGCATAGTGGATCTCTGTGAGTCCAGGCCAGGCAGGGATACACAGTGAATGTCTCAAGAAAAAAGAAAACAAAAACAGAACAAGAGTGGTGCTTAAGGGGAGACTGTTAGACCATGGACAGGGCTAGGGTTGAAGGCCTGTGCCACTCACCAGGCCACGCTCTTGTTCTGTTCCTTGTATCCCAATGTCATTCCCACTCTTCTCCCCTCTAAATTCTACCTTTGGGTCAAGGACTAGTCTTTCCCTAAACTCTTCTAGTGATTTAGGCTAAAAATAATCCTTTTAAAAATTCTATGGTAATTACAATTTCAATTAATTTGAGAGGATGAGATACTGTTTTTGAAAAGTGTTTAACTATAGGCTGTAGTGGAGCATGCCTTTAATCCCAGCACTTGGGAGGCAGAGGCAGGCAGATCTCTGTGACTTCAAGGCCAACCTCAATGAGTTCCAGGCTATAACTTCTGCTTTCTTCTCTTTCCAGACACTTGATAAACACACATATTACACTCTTTAGGAGTGACGGCTCAGTGGTTAAGAGCACTGGCTGCTCTTTCAGAGGACCAAAGGTTTAGTTCCCAGCACCCACATGTAGGTAACAACTGTTCCTAACTCCAGTTCCAGGGGATCCAACATCTACTTCTGACCTCTGTGGGCACTGCACAACATAGGTGCACTTACATACATGCAGGCAAAACACTCAGTGGTTAAGAGCACTGGCTGTTCTTGCAGACGACCCAGGTTTGATTCCCAACACCCACATGGTGGCTAACTGACCCCATATAGTGGCTAACAACTGTCAGTAACTCCAGTTCCAGAAGATTTTAACACCCTCTTCTGGCCTCTTCGGGGAAATGTACACATGTGGTGCACTCGCATACATGCAGGCAAAACACCCATACACATAAAATAATAAAAATAAAACATTTTGCCAGCTGTGGTGGCACACAGCTTTAATCCCAGGACTTGGGAGGCAGAGGCAGGAGAATCTTTGTGAGTTGGAGGCGAGCCTGGTCTACATAATGAGTTCTAGGCCAGCTGGAGCTACAGGGAGACCCTGTCTCTCAAACAGACCTAAATAAATAAATAAATATGCCTTTAATCTCAGCACTTATGAGGCAGAGGCAAGTGGATCTCCATAAGATGGGAGCTGGCCTACTCTACATAGCAAGTAATAAAATTTCTGGGGCTACAGGGAAACCCTGTCTCTCAAATAGACATACATAATAAATAAATAACAGATAAATAAATAATAAACAATTTTTTAATTAAGTAAACCCCAGGGGGGCTATAAAGACAACTAAGTACTTAACAGCACAGGCTACTCTTACAAAGGACCAGCACTCACATGGTGACTAACAACCATCCAGTTACAGGGGATCCAATGCCCTCTTCTGGCCTCCTCCCACATTGTACAACATGGGTCCACTTACATACATGCAAGCAAAACATTCATACACATACAATTAATAATTGTTTTTTTAAAAAAGAAACAAACTTCAGAAATAACACAGAAGCTAACATTCAGAGTTGAATTCTGACAAGGGGCTTTTTTTTGTTTTTTAACTTTGTATTGTTGTTTTTTGGGTTTTTTTTTTTTTTTTTTTTTTTGACAGGGTCTCCCTAGTCCCAGCCTGCCTAGAACTCCCTCTGTAGACCAGGCTGGCCTTGATCTCACAGAGATCTACCTGCTTTTACCTCCCAAAAGCTGGGATTAAAGGCATGTGCTACCACACCCAGATGTATTGTTTTTTTTTTCAATTGAATTTTTGCAGTTTTCATACAATATAATTTGATAGTAGATTCCCTCCCCTATCCCCACCTCCTTTCATTGCCCCCTGCCTAATATATATAATGTAATCTACTTTATATATATAATATAAATAAATAAAATAAGGGTTATAGAGTCTAATTTGTTTCCCCAAATGTCCTTCAGTGTGGGTCCATCCACTGGCACCTGGTTAACCTAGTAAGAGTCCCATGCTTGAAAAAGACTGTCTCTGCCCCTCACTCCCTCATTGTCTATGCTGTAATTTTTTTCTGGTTTGAGCCTGCGTGAGACTTGTACATGCTGTCACTGCTGCTGTGAATTCATATAAGTAACTGACCAGTTGTCTGAAAAACTGTTTCCTTGTGGTCATCCATAACCTCTAGCTCTTACAATCTTTCCACTGCCTCTTCTACAATGATCCTTGAGCTTTGTGGTGAGGGGGAGGAGTTGTTTGATATAGGGGTCCCAATGGCCTCAAACAATACTGGCCATTGCCCCTGCTCTTGGTTACCCACCAGAACTGGATGGTACGAGTGCTAAAGACACTGTATACATGAGCTATAGAACAAACAAGGAGAAATCAAGCTGGTGCTGACTTCAGAGGCTCATCTCCACTAGCTAATGTTCATGGTGCTGGAAGGTGCTATACAAGCTACCAGAAGGAAAAAAATAATCATGAACCTTACCCATCTGTGAATCCTGTGAACTACAATGATGACTGGCCTGGCAAGAGATGCCCAGAGGTGCAACAGTGGCACAAATATTATGGGAGTAACCAATCACATTTTAATTGGATTTAAGGTCCACGTCCTAGAACAGAGCCCATACCTGATATCGACATCAGGCTTAGAAACCTAAAGCTAACCAGGTCATAGGTCACAGAGGAGAACTTAATACTATTTTTCTATTCATTATTGTACTAAACTGACTCAATGATTTATTGTTATTGAAATGGCAAAACTAACTCCATTTTGTTCTAGCCTTTTGCCTTTACCCTATGCTTTTGCCCAGTCATTTCCACTGCAGTCAGCCAGGCAGAACATCTCATGCAGGTATTTCTACAATACTGGGAAACTTACAAGTAGCCAGGTAGCATGTCCAGATAGCACATTCTCCCTCCAAGCTATACCTGCATCTCCATGGAGTCCATTGTTTCTACAATTCTGAGAAACTTATTTTTAACTTATCAAAACTTTTTGTTAACTGAAAACCTCTTTGTTAACTGAGTTGCTCCTGGTCTGTTGTAACTATGGTGATCTGATGTAACTATGGTTACTGGCTTTGTCCCTAGCATGATGTAATTATGGTTTTAAGTTTTACAAACCCTGCCCTGCTTCTCCTCACAGTTGAGAGTTCTTTGGGGCATTATTCCCCTCTCTCACCATTGGCTATTAATAAAGGACTCCTAATTTGACCACCACTATATGGCATTCCTCTGTGCATCTCACTCAGTGTTGCAGTTATACCCATATATATATCCATATATCTCTCAACTCTCATCAGAGAAGGTTCCTTATGTAACAGATGGTGATTAACACAGAAACCCGTAACTGGTCAACATGCATAGAACAAGAGGCTGCAGAGCACTTATCCCTGAATAGGACACAAGGGACTTCTTTCATAAGTACTTAAAGCAAGGAATTTAGAACATCTTCAAAAAACCCAGGTCCTCTACAAGAGCAGCCAATGCCCCTAACTGCTGAACCATTTTTCAGCATCCCCTGCCAAAACCCCACATTTTCATTAGCAAATTTTATATATTATAGATGGATGGCCTGAAAATAAACCTAAGTCTAAAACCTGCAACACACCTAGCAATAAAGCACCACTGCTTTTATTTTTCTCTCAGTCACTACAGTTTTCTATTCAACAGTTCCTACAAATTACATCTTCTCCCCTCTGGCCTTGCCTTGATCCATTTGTGTATACATCAAATGAAAACCCCTTATGTTGAAATTTTGCATATATATAATCTTAGAACACAAATATTTCTGAGATCTCCATTCAGTACTTTACCTGCAGTTTCATATGTATATGAAATAATTCATCATATATTTGATTTATCTGAAGTAGAAGTAAGCTCTGCTTATCTGACACTTTAGACTTTGGAGAGATGGCATGTTTCAAAAGAGAGTCATTGGAATCACTGCAGCATTCAGTCTGGAGTCTTGATGAGGCCACATTAGTTGGCAGGACATCTGCAAAAGTTTTAAAAATTCTCAGACATAGTATTCTTCCAGAAGAGTTGCTTTCAATAAAAATTATAGTATTATTTAAAAGTTTGGAAAGGATAATATAGCAAAAATGGTAAAGACTGTAACATAACATTTGCATAAAGTGTAAATGAACACTCTGTAGTGTGCAATATTTCAAACTACAATGTGGATGGAAACACTCATGCATTACCTAGCCAAGGTCAAGACATGGAATGTCACCTCACAAATCCCTACCATATTTCTCTACCTTCCCTGAAACCAAATTAACTACCAACCCAATTATAGTGCTTATCACTGCCTTTACTTTTCAATTTCCTCTGGCTACACTGAAAAAGTCTGTGTTTTTCCTATTGTAGATTTTATGTGCCTGTAAGTTAACAAAATCTCTATAAGCTTCTCCTTTAGATATTAACATGTTCTCTGAAATCTATCCATGCTGATTTCAGAATGATTTACAAATCTTTACTATTTTATTCAATTTCATAAAGACATGGCAACATCCTGCCAGATGGGTATTTAATGTTTTTTGACTATACAGACTTTACAGTCATACACCTGGATCCTGCTACACATGTTCAAGAATTTCTCTGAGGTATATAATTAATAGAAAGATTGCTGAGTTTAGGGTAATGTGCAGGTTCAATTTTACTGGTGATGACAAACTGTTTTCCAAAATGATTATATCTAATGCCAACAGGAATGGATAAGTTTCTCTTGCTTCATATCCCCAATAACACTGTATAGAACAGAACTTACTTTCTGCTAGTTATTAAAGATAATTTTATAAATGCTCTCCTGCAACAAAGGAACCCTTATACATTGCTTGTGAAAATGTAAATTAGTTCAGAATCTATTAAAATCAATTTGGAGGTTCCTCAAAAAAAAAAAATCTTCCATATGACCAGTTATATCATTTCACTTCTGGTATTTACGTGAAGGACTCTAAGTCAGTGTATCACAGAGATACTTGTGTATCAATGTTTATTGCAACACTAGTCACAAAAGCTATGGAAACAACGCAGGTGTTCTGCAACATAGAAAGGATAAATAAAATGGGCTATCACACACACACACACACAAACAAAAGATACATAAAATTATGTATATGGAAGTAGAAGCAAAATTTCTAGAGGCACAAAGAGGACTAATGGGAAAAAGAGTGAAAGGGGGGAAGAGTATGAAGGAAACATGTTCAAATTACATATAGCTGTATGAAAATAACCCTATGAAACCCAGTGTCACAAAGAGTATATGCCAATAAAAATAAATATATAAATAATTGTCACGCCATCTCCAATGAAGCCCACGTGAGATCCTCCGTGGGTTGAGGCTGGAACTTCAAGGAAGGTTGCCTCTTGGAATTGGTTGTGATAAGAAACATGCAGTGTACCTGGCACGCTCTTACTTGCTATTAATTTTCTAACTGTCACTGTATCTTGGGCTTTCTGGGGGCCCAGAA